CAGCATGTATAGGGGGAGGGGGGCGAGGTTGGGTGTGGAAGAACTTGAGAAATTCAGCAATGTGCAAAAGGTAGAAGCAGCATCAGGAAAGAAAATAAGGGCAGTAGGGACGCCGCGGGATCCTGCCCGGCGGTGCGCGGGGGGGAGGGTTGGGAAGCGTGAGTGCTGGTGCTACCGTTTTGAAAATTGAAGGCACAAGCTAGTTAGGCCTGAAGGAAAAGTTGATTGTTACCGTGAATGCCTCGTTCCGTGACCCTGCTCTGAATTTTATGCGCTCTCTTCTCCTCATGAAAGATGTTGCTCTGTCTGACAGCTCTTCTTCTCTAGCCCCCCCACCCCCCACATATGATAGATGCACTCATGTTGCAGGGTTTTTTCTACTCCTTATTTTTTTCTTGCCTGTACAGTGTTTTGTCCTACGCTTCGGAAACGGTTTACAAATGATAGTTTGTATAAACACTTATTGACCCTGAACGGTTGTGAACTCCCTCTTTCCTTCCCTCCCCTTCCTCTCTGAGATTTGTCATATCATAGATGCGGCTTGAGCAACATAGCATTTTTTCCCCCACAAGAAAGGGGAAACTAGGCATGAATCACACGCGGAAAGTCATCACGTTTTATATAATGGAACTCACTGAAATGCTTCTCAAACACTATTTAGCTGGCCTTGATCCCTTTTATCTCTCTTTTCTGCAACAGTTTGGGTTGCTGGAGATAATTTAAAAGTTGCTCTGAATTTGGTACTGTCCTTGACACCTTGTTTATGACAGTTAACAATATTGCCAGTGTTGTGAGGAAAATCAGAAAGAGGCATATCAGACCAGGCCAAAGAATGCCGTTCAGAAAGTCTGCGTGCTTCCTTTACCCCATATTTTATTCAAGAATACAAAGTAGTAAAAAGCCAGAGAAACAAATAAACCACACAACCACCTACCTTGTACTAACTCAGGTTTGAATGATAAATGTTAAGGTAGTTTTTGTTTTTTTTAATTTCACTCATTTGAATTGGAGAATCTCTTTGCCCTGACACAGGAGGTTAAGAGCTTGGATGCTTTCAGGCAGATAAAAGCATTTATAGAAATATGGATTTTGCTACTAAATATGGATTTATTTTTATATAAATATAGTTCATAAAGTAAAGCATCTGATCTGACATAAGCTTTTAAAATATTAGATAAATTGAGATATGCTTTGTTGAAATACCATGTTCTGATTTTGTGACTCCTCTGCATACTTCTGCTGATGACTGGAGTCGCACTGTATTTTGCCTAATTAACTTTAAAATACCAAATATAACTTTAGATATTGAGCTAAGTCTTTATAATTGTTTGTATTTTTTACTTTACTACTTCTATCTATTGTCCTTTTATCACATTAAGCTGGTAGAAGATCATTGAACATTCAGAACCAAAACCATGCTTCTTATTTTGGAGTATCTATTTAAATAACATTGTCTTTTACTGTACCAGGCTGCTGATATAAGATCTTCCATAAGGAGATCATGATATTTAGTTCCCTGTCCAGCAAGCTCTTCTCCACACATGAGCACCAACCACTGCAGAAAGCACTACAATAGTCAGTGAGGCTCTGCTTGGGTACAGACAGAGCTCCACCTGGAGAACCTTGCAGAACTGAACAAAATCATGGGTAGAAAGTAGAGGGTCGTTTAATCTCAGTGGTATGGCATCTTCACTGACCTTTTATTATGTAAACTATTAGGTATAGTCTCTTTGCTAGTAATAAGCAAGTATCTTCAAAATATTCTTGAATGTTCTATTTATAGTTTAACAATGTAGCTGAGATTGATAACAGTTGAGAACAAAATTGCTTTGTTTTCTCACTCTCACTTTAATTTCTCTATAAATCTTAAAGTGAAAAAAGATAGCTGGTTAGTCTAGTTATTAAGAGTTACTATTCTGTGGAGCTATATTGAGGAACGGTGGTATTTCTAGAATAGAATTGTGTAGATTTTTTTAAAAATGGATTATCAAAATTTAAATCCTGCTTATTGCTTAAATTATTGTGTACTGAAAGGAAAAACTTGGCTTTTAGTGTATAATTCACATCTGTTTCAAGTAGTCTTAATAAAATTAGGTCAGTGTAATGTATTTAAACAGTTCAACCTGAAAGTGCACTTTTCAAAATGGAAAAATAAAGGATTTATTCAGAAAAGGATAACCTAGGGAAGGTTTCAATGGATTCACTTATATTAAGCTCTGCTATGCAAATGCTCTTTTTTCCCTTGTTTTCTCTTTTTGGTGAGAATATCAGAAATCATGGTAATTATTATTTTTTAGCTTTTACAAGAACAGCTAAACAACTCTTAAAAGTGCATAGCTAGTACCTTTTGCCCTTAATTTTTAGTTCAAATAGTTTTTAAACGGACGATACAGTGCCCCAAATCAGGATTTATCCTGGAAATACTGTTCCTAGCTTCAATGTTGAGTTGCTGAATTATGGTAAACATTGTGTTTTGTGCTATAAATAATTTAAAAAATGTTTACTTTTTTCCCCCCAACTGTCATTCTCTGCGCACTGGATATTTTCTTGACAGGTGTTAACGATGGGTGAGATATATTTAACATAAAAATCTAAGTGCTTGGTTTTATGCTTTTTATGCATATAACACCCCAAACTTTTTGTTGTAATTAGGGACAATTGAGTACCTCTGTATTCTGTGATGCTTATGTTTCTGGTAAAGCCCCATGAGTTTTTATAAATATATTGTAAAAAATTTCTCTACTTAAAAACACTTGATTAAAAACATAATATAAAATGCATTTGGCCAAGAGGTTCCAGGATCTTAACAAAATGTGTCTGTGCTGCTTAGCTGCTGCTTGCCTATGAAGTGAGCTTTGATGACCTGTTGGCCAAAACTTCACATTTACACATGAAGCTATAAATAATCCTCTGTACTTAAGTCAGTACACGTGTCATCTTGACTAAACTCCCTGAATAATAGCTTAGCAAATGTTAGTTTCCTCCTCTCCTGTTGGAGGTGTTAACTTCAAAACTCAGTTGAAACCATTTAAATGAAGAAACTTCTAAACATCAATCTAAGACCAAAACATTAATGGGTCATGGTATTTAACCATTGATGATGTCTCTTGCAATGGGAGGGCAAAGTCCATAATTAAATTCAGCCTGTCAATTCAGTGCACAAGAATAAAAAAAGAATTTCAGCTTCTAGTTAATCTAGTTGTAACAGGAATGTGCTTTTAATCAAAGTAGAGTGTATCCAGCTTGCCTCAAAATAACCTTGATTAGTGGTTCAGTTTATGGTTTTTGAAGAATGCAGTTTCCTTTGCAGGTTCCAAGTGACTACTGAAAGAACTGATAAATGTTAGTTGCTTAATGGAGGTGGTCTTTTAATAAAGTGAAAGCAGAACTGTATTTGGTAAGCTTGGATTGGCAATGAGGGGTAAACTGAAGCAAGCGGGTTGTCTCAAAGGTGATTTTGAATACAGATTGAATATTGCAGCTGCCTCTCCTTTCCCTGGTATATCTATACTTCCCCATAACTTTATTGGAAATCATTACTATTTTGGGGGCAAAGCATGAAGTCATACAAAAATACAGTTTCATTGTTAGAATTGGGGCCAGAGAAAGGTAGTAGATATTTATAGAGCTTAAGGCAAGAAGAGTCTGCTAGATCATCTAGTCTGATCTCCTGTGTGTCACATCCAGCATTGTCACGCTAAACCCAATGACCAACGTTAGACCAAAGTATCACAGCTCACATGAGACTAGATTATTATGTGCCACAGGCAGTAATAGGAGATACTGAGGTGCACTGATGCTCTTAGTCTGGAAGCATAGTATGCTATTTAAATGGAATGATGGAAATTAGAGATAGAAAAGACCATTTATGTCATTTAATCATCCACTTGCCAATATAGGATTCTTGCCCTGTACTTTCCATTGCATAGGTCAGTTACATTATGAAGCGCTTAATTCATAGGGCTCTGCCAGATCTTTGGAGATGATACTTTTTCCCAGGGTCCAAATACTGTATGAGAGAGAGAACCATCAACACAAAATTCTCTGCCACATTTAGGGGGGTTGAATTCTAACACATTCTTTTTACACGATTAGAAAACTTGGATCAATATAGAACAGCATATTAATATAGGGCTTGACAAATGACAAAAGAGCTTGGAGGAACTGATCTGAGGATTTAGAAAATCTCTAGGTGGTATGGTCACTGGGCCTAAGGCCTGGGAAGTAAAGGAGAGAGAATTGTCTACCTACCATAATCTGAAAAGTAAAAAAACATGTATTTTAAATGGGAGTGCAGTTGGGCATAATAGAAGGAAATTATGCAAGGGAAAACTTGATGAACATTAGGAAAGTTTCGAAACAAAAATATTTTGGGGGTCTTGCTAAAAACATACTATACCTCTTCATGGGTCTTTGTTATAACTTCTTTATTTCCAATGTGGATGAAAACACATTGTACTATAATTGTTCTGGGAACATGCTGATCTTGAAGGTGGCTGGTCTTTTTTAGAAAGATATTTGGCTTTGTCAGTTATGAAACAGGTTTTTTTTGTTTTGTTTTTTGTTTTGCAAGAGAAGTACAAAAACTAATGCAATGAACAGAACAGTTAAATACAATTATTGATATTGTGATAAAGGAATGCTAGCATACAAACCTATTGATTTATGCTTTTAGATTTCCCTTTTTCTACTGTAAATAGGCCTTAATAGATGTAGTTTAGATTTTTTCTTGTGTTCTCCTTTCTTTTGTTTTACTTTTAATCCACTCTTTGCAATTATACTCCGACTCACAGCCTCTCTTGGTCTTTTCAAATACTGGTAGAACAGTTACAATCTCTTGTCATATTCCCCTCACTCAGCTGATGTACAGCTGTTATGAACACATGTAGGCTCTTTTCCTGAATTTACATATTTTCTTAATGTGACATTAATAATGTCAATGAGAATATTTACATGCTTAAAGTTAAGTATGTGTATAAGTGTTTACAAAATCATGGCCTTTGCTTTTCAGGGAAATTTGCAGTGTGTCCTACACTAAAATACAACACTTCAAATGTCTGTAATCTAGACAGTGTTTATTCAGAAACTGATTTCTTCAAGCATTTTGTTGCTCTTCTCTGAATTGTTTGATTTTTTTGATAGTAAGGTACCCTCATCTGTTTATGTATTTTATTAAATTTAAACCCCAAATGTGTCAATAAAATAACCTTTAGGAACCTCAACAACACCTGAAGTGTACATTAGTGGGGTTGCCAGGTTGTTGTCAGCTACAAGTCTCACTAAGGAACAGGATGATTAATCCATATCCACCTATGTTTAATGTGTCATTAGTGATTTCTATCTGAATGACATATATTGAAGGTATCATATTGCCATTACTAAAGAATTCTTGGAATTTCAAAAAAATATAGATGAGATTTTCTAATTTAAAATGTGTTGTAGCCTGCACAGGGGAATTATATGTTAGATTTTATTCTGATAAAGAAGAATTGATCACAGAACTAAAAATTAGTGGCTGCTTAGGTGCAAGAGATCATGATTTGATAACGTTTGTTGTATAAAAATACAATCAAGTCCAAATCTATAATATATACATTTAGTTCATTAAAGCTGAAAACAACCAAGAATCAAATCAAATGGGAGAATGATAATTGGATACTGTTTAAGAACATTTCACCAGAGGCCAAAAAAGCTGCACTTGAGAGAGTGCATAAAAACATAGCCTGGCTTAGAGGAGAAATGAAGGCAACTATGTACAAGCAAATAGGAGTAAATGATAATTGATAGCAGTGAATATTAATTAGAAGATAGGAACTGAAAAAAACGGATTAGGGATGCAAAAACACACACAGACCTGGAAGAAAACAAACTCATTATTGACCAAAATTTACAGGCAACACAGAGGTTGGGGAAGTTTTAAATAATGAAGAGGGCAAGTCACTGATGTCAAATGATCCAGATTGTGCTGTGCCCATCTTAGAAAGCAAAGGTTTCAATGTTTTATTTATGGCAGGGGTGGGAAACTTTTTTGGGGTTGGGGGCCACTGACCCACAGAAAATCAGTTGGGGACTGCACAAGTGAGAACCATTTCCTCCAAAAACCCCAAACCCTCACTAATGTGGTCCCCAGCTGAGACACCTCACTCCTCTGATGCTGCAGCCTCATGGGGTGAGAGGAAGGGACTGGGAGGACTGAGGTTCAGGGCTTCCCATAGACCAGATTTACTTTTCTGGGAACTGGATTTTATGGGCCCCCTTAGGCTCTGGGGTAGGGACAAAAATGAGGGGTTCGGTGTGTGAGTCAGGGCTGCCAGCAAGTGGGATAGGGAAGTACAGGATCTGGGAGGGAGGTAGGGTGCAGAAGCAGGCTGGGAATAGGGTGTCTGGCCCTGTGGAGAGAGAGGAGGAAGGGAGGGTGTAGTGTGTGGCCAGGAGGGTGGGTGGCAGGAGCAACAGTGGATGCAGGAGCAGGGTGGTGGTAGGGTGTCTGGCCAGACGGGAGGGTGCAGGAACAAGGGAGGGTATCAGAGTAAGCTGGGGGTGCAGAGTCTTGGTGGGGGGAGGAGAGTGAGGGAGGGGGACTGAAGTGTGGGGGTCTGGGCATGCGGTGGAATGCTTACCTGGCTTTGCACCCCGTTGCAGCAACTGATGCGGCCACATGGTCCTGAGCTGGCCCTGGATGTGTTGCGGCCACACAGGCCTGGGCCAGCCCCGGGGGTCAGAGGTGCTATGGCCACGAGGTCCTGGGTCAGCCCTAGACTGAGTGGCTGCGGCAGTGGTGCCTCTGGGGCCAGCCCGGAACTGTGTGGTCTCAATAGAGGCGCCTTTGGCCTCTGGAGTGGTCAGAGGCCGGAGGTGATGCTGCTGTGGCCATGCAGTCTTTGGCCGGATCCGGAGATGCTGCTGAGGAGCCTCAACCTGAGTGCTGCCTCCTTCCACTGCAGCTTTAACCTGCTGTGGGAAAGAGGGAGGACCCTTCAGCAGCTGTGTGGGGGAGGAGGAAAGGGGCTGAGCTCCCACCCTGCATGCTGCTGAAAATCAGCTCGCATTTCACTTAGGTAGGCGTGCCATAGGTTGCCAACACCTGGCCTGTGTTATGCAGAAGGTCAGTATAGATTGTGGTCTTCATAATCAGTGGAAAAAATAACATAACTTCCAAGAAGAATAAAATGCTAGTATTCTAGCTTCACATTAACTCAGCAGCTAGTAAAACATAGCAACTGTAATATATCTTCAGTATCCTCTCCCCGTGTCTGTTCTCCCCTCTCCCTCTGCCCCAGCCCCAAACTCTGTTAAATGGCTTCCAGGCATGCTGCAAAGACCATTACTTTTTCTGTCTACACTTGTATTCAACATCTCTTAATACAAATGTGTTATTTTGGATGAAAGGAAAGAATAAGTCCTAGTGTGGGCTCTTGCCCGAGAATGCCGACCTATCTTAACTGTTCTTTTGCTGTGCCTTAGAGGATTATTCTCAGTGGTTTGAGGTGGGATTCTGCTGCTGCAGTCATAGTTGTATTCTTTTTCTTTTTGAATGACATCACATTGCAAGATAGCATCTAAATTGCTGTACACAATAACAATAATTAATTTCTAATTAATTCACACCCACAATTCTTTTTCCCTTGTATGCTAAATAGCACTTTTTCATGTTGAATTTAATTTTATTCCTCACTCAAATTTCTAACCCCTCAAAGTTCTTTTACGTACTTTGTCTATCTACACTTGTGTTCAACATCTCTTAGTTCATCAACGTTCTTGTAAACTGGAGGGATTCCAGCCTACCTTCAGAACAAATCCACATAAGTTATATGGAGTCAGAATGTACCCCCTAGATATCCCTAATCTTAGGGGAGAGAGCAGAAAATGACATGGTCCCTTCCTAACACAGGCACCTGATATGGGCTGGGGCAGGGGTGGACAATCATTTTAATGCGGGGGGGGACTTAATTAATTTTGATACGTGGTCAAGGGCTGACTCCACCTCCTGGAAGGGGCAGGACTGGGGACTCGCCTGTCCCCCAGAGTTGTCTGGGGCTGGAGGCTTTGAACTAAAAACACAGCAGAGGGTTTATGGCTCCCTGCTCCACTGCTAATGCATTACCTGGCAGCCACCCAAAGTTGCTGCTGCTATTTAAATGGCTCGTAGCTCCAGCCCCTGCCAGGACAGTGCTGGGACCAGGAGCCTTCAGGCATTTCAATAGGATCCTGACGCCTGAGCCATCACCTGGAAATTCAGTGGCATGGGCAGCAGGATATAAACAGAAAGTGGCCAGATGCAGTCCGTGGGTTGGATCAAAGTGTTTGCCAAGCACTGTGCCCAGCCCTGGGCTGGCGACTGGGACTAAAATACTGTTTAATCAGTTAATAACTGAAGTGAGGGCAGTTAACCATTCTCATCCCTACTGGAAACAAATAATGCTCCCCCAAAAGGTGCCTGCATTGCTGTTGGGTAGGAATAAAGGAAAGGTAATGAAGCTGGGATGGAAGGGGACTTCTGCAGCCTGTAGAATCCCAGGATTAGATTCTCAGTTGGTACATATTTGTCATGGCTCCTTTAAAGTCCATTGAAGATAGTCACAGTTCAGCTCATCTGCATCTGTATTTCCCTTCATGGTTTATCAAGGGCACCCACTCTGGGCTTCCAGCTTCCCAGCCATTGCCTTTCTGAGTGGAGACCTGTACGTCTCTTCCTTTAGAATATGATATTTCCAGGCTACATAATTCACTGCCTTCACTGTGTAATTCCAACACACACAGGTTGCCCATGGATACCCATTTGCTTTCTCTTTAGAGATGGTTAATTGGTGTAATTGCTACAGTTTTAAGGTACCACACACTACTTTCTGTACAAACTTACTTTATTCATTACAGAGAAATGTATTTAAAAATATGAAATAACCTAAGCGCATGCATAAATTCACCAGAATTAACCCAAAGCCTTACATTAATTCTGTCAATAGTCTTTCAACTCCAAGAGGATTTTTTTGTGGTCACAGCTCTGAACAAGCATTTGGTCCTTTCAGCCCTACCCTAAAGATTGGGAGCCCTCAGTGGACCAGAAATCCTATTAGTTTGCTGGCTCAGGAAAAAGGACATGAGCCAGGTTAACATGGCTGACATGAGCCAGCTACATAGCCCAAAATCCTTTGTCTTTTGATATCTGGAGAATTCAGTTTAATCTAGTATATACATATCTCTTGAGGTGACTTCAAAGGACTGATAATGGAGGAAGTACTTAGCATCCCCACTCCCTATTAGAGAAGGAACATACAGTGCCACAACTTATACACAATTCAATTTTTAATACAATGTAACCCAAAAGTATCAACTCTAAATCAATTAAGATTTAACTTAATTCAGTAAAGTTTATTTTGGATATTGCAGGAAATTGTTAGTCTGTTACAAAGACAATTTACACCAACTGAAGGCATGCCCCCAACTGTTCCTACTGATGATGTTTCTTTATCTCACAGCTGCTTCTTTTTTCAGCAGCTGTCCCTTCTGCTCCTGCCTTTTCCAGGAGTCCTTCATATGCCATGATGCTTGTGAGGGAGTCTAAGTATCCATCATACCGGGTACAGGACTCCTGTTTATGAATTATATCCTGCTTCCAAATTTTTAAAAACATATAACAGACTTGTTCGCTTAAAAAGAAAACACAACAAAGTGAAAGGATGGGATGCACCAGTCCAAGGCTCAGGATGCCTTCATTATGTTTTGAACTTGTACAACTGCACTAAAACATAACTGAGTTGAGAGCCTGCATGTTTCCTGTGGACGTGTGTGAATGGGGTTTACAAAATGGGTTTGAGAAAATCAGCAGTATGAAATATCTTGTAAGACCTGTTATAAAAATAAAAGGACAGTTTCCTGAATAGTTGTTGACGTAAAATATAAAGTGTAACTCTAAAGAGATGACAGTATTTTAGTAAGCTAACTATTAACAGTTTTAGATGAAGTCATGATAAAATTAAACCATTCAAAATATCCAAGAACTAAAAAGTATTTGCTCTCAGTTTTATTTGGTAAAATTCTGATGTAGAGCTCATATCTTCTTCTTATAAATATTTCCGAAAGTTTGTTTGTTTGTTTGTCCTGAAAGATCTCAGAAACGGTACGAGCTAGAAACATCAAATTTTGAACGGATACTACTGATTTCCTAACATAAATAACTGCTTTGGTTATATCTCAAAATCAGTTTCCCCCTCCCCCCCGGTTCCCTCAGAGCCCCACTGATAATTGGGCCCACTGATAATTAACTTAGATCTCCGAAACGGTAAGAGCTAGAAACACCAAATTTTCAATGTATACTACTG